ACCTCCCACGCACGAGCACGCCGCGCTCGCCTCGCGAAACGCTACCCTGTTCAGTACTACCGGCTGCATCCGTTACCCAGCTGATAGGACCTGGGATTGGGCAGCAGCCCAGCAGTTTTATGGGTAAAGGGCACAGGGTGCACCGTTTACCCGCGCTTGCTTGAATTTCTTCACGTTGACATTCAGAGCACTGGGCAGAAATCACATTGCGTCAACACCCGCGAGGGCCATCGCAAGGATTATTCCTTAGTGTCTTCATAATGATTCAAAAATCGTTACTATTTTTTTTTTATATATATATAAAAGAAAAATTATACTTGTATTCCAGATAAAGTCAAACACACTTCAGAAGCTAATACACGATGCTAATACACGATGTGCTCACATCAGATATATGCAAGAAAGTGAATACACATGGAAATGTCCGAGAAAAACAAAAGGCGAATTATTTATATTTGTTGTTCTTTCAGCTCTGAAGTGTCAAGGACATGCGTTAGAAACAGCAAGACTGTTTGTTGATAATTACAATTGGTATTACATACCTTCATCTATACATAAACTCCTCATACACGGAAAAAAAATCATAGGAAATTTTACAATTCCTGTAGGTCAACTATCCGAAGAGGCAAGTGAAGCTCGCAATAAAGAGTTTAGAAAGTACAGAGAAATGCATTCACGAAAAATTAATAGAATAGCCACAAACGAAGATGTTTTACATCACCTCCTAGTTACTTCTGATCCTGTTATTTCGAGCCTACGACCCAATCTAACAAAAAAGAAAGAACAAGAACTATTTGCAGAAACGCTACAACTTTTAAAGTAATCCTTTTATTTTACATCCACGCACGTATGACTGCGCGCGCGAACACACACACACACACACACACACACACACACACACACACTAGATGCAAATCCGACTGTGCAACCTCCACGTGGTGCATCTTGGGTAGGTACAAAGTACCTAGCAAATGCCAGCGGTAAAACCTCACAATAATTGTGTTGAAATTTCCTATACAATAACTTAATTAAAATACGTGCTTCGCTTAGAAAATTTTACATATATTTTGCAAAACTGCATCTAGCAGCAGTTCGTTCTTCTTTGAGCTTGTAGTGCAATGTTTACTGTATGTAGTTCAACCATTAAAAATGCTATCAATCTTAAACATTTTTTGAAAACTCAATGACAAATTAAATAACGTGTACTTTTTACCATTAATCAGAATCATTCTGGAAAATATTCAAGAAAAGCTATAAAATTGTTTTTACGATTATTTTTGTATATATTTAAATATGTACTATATCATAAGAAAAATTTTTATTGGATCGTGAAAACCGTATGAAAATAGGGCGATCTAAAAACTAGACGCGAAAATATAAAAAAATTATATGTATCAGGTTGATCTTTATTGCAGTAAATTTGTATGGAAATTATGGAAATTTTAAATGATTAAAGTTATTACAATAATCTACAACTAATTTACTATTAGAATTTACAATCAGAGTGGTAATTTCGACAAATGATTTTTTTTTGTCTATGTCCGCTATTTCTTACGCGTCGATCCACTGTGGTCGGCGTCATCCGTACCACCGTACGAATTGACGCAATTTATCAACGAGCCAGGTATCTATTTCGAGAGAATCGGACACCTGCAGCAAACAAAAGCAATGTGGAAATTAGCTGTTGAGGAGGCTCTGGATATTGTAACGGATAATGAGAGAAACTGCTTTTATAATGAACAATACTTATTAGAGTTTATTAGAAGTATTACAGTACAGATTTACCGGACCTTCTCTAGCAGCGTACAGACAGAACAAGAGGCGGCACTGCCGCATGCACGCGTTAATATATCGAAAGCTAAAGGCGGTATCCGCGAGTAGCCGGCGCTCCGGCTGCCACCTGCTATGCCATGATTGGCCAACCAATACGCGATAGAATTGGTAATAGAAAAGTGCGCAAACACCCTCAACATTAGCGATACGCATAGACGTAACCGCATTAAAAATCAGACACCAACAGCTCCAAAGATACCTAGAAAATACCGAGGAACTTTGCAGTTATGCCACTGGAGACGTCAAGAATAAATGCCAGATTGCTCTCCGGACCAATAAGAGAGAAAATGATAAAACGACACGCGCCCTAGAACACTTACAAACAATTTACAAGTCACCTGTAATTAAGCGAGGGTTAATCAATGCCATTGGAGAGATAAGTAAAACTCTATTTGGTACCATGGATGCAGAAGACGCAAAAACAATCAACGAGCAATTACAAATACTTAATAATCAGCAAGAGACGCTACACCACGCAGCGAAGAACCAGCTGAAGATCATCAACTCCACATTAGGACACATGGAAAAATTAGAACAGACGCTATCCCACAACGAAAATTTACTGGTAAACGTCACCAGGAAACTACATATTATAGACTATTTAACATATGCACAAAATGACATTTTACTTACACGCGTACTTCCATTAGAGAATATAATCGTAGAATTAAAGAAGACAACCTCACATTTAACCAGAGAATTAAACTTTCCATTTAAAATCCAGACCGAAAACTGGAATACGATCCAAAGATACGTAAGCGTAAGCGCATATTACGACAATTCGAACGTATACACATATCCTCGCGTTCCCTATAATAGCATATCCGGTATACGAACTAATAAAAATTACACCTGTACCAATACACAACGACCATAATGTGTTTACCCTACTAGAACTTTCACACACACTATTAGGAATAAACCGAAAGAATCATAATTATATAATATTAAAAGAAAACGATTTAAATAAATGTACGCGAGAAACTACTAAATTTATATGCGACCAATATTTTCCCGTGTATTTTGTAATTGCTGTAACGGCCTGACTTTATCGAACGCGGACTGGTATGCGGGATCAGGAGTCCGATGAAAGGCCCAGAGACAATAATCAATTTAGGTGGTAAATGCAGTAGTTTATTCAGCTTAGCTTATTATATACACGAAGTGGTATTTTATATAGCGCAGGGACGGGTGGAACGCGATATAGTATTTATACAACGAAGGGGCAGTGCGGGTGCACTCGATAACGGACGCGGTAGCACGCTATCCGACGGACTCGGTAGTATTTGATATAGCGCAGGGACGGACAGAACGCGGTATATACAATGAAGAAGTAGTGCGGGTGCACTTAATAACGCACGCGGTATCGTTATTCGACGGGCTCGGTATGTTACATGGACGTATTACGTAGTACATAAGCGGCCGCGGTATCGCTACTCGACGGGCTCGGTATACTACATAGGCGTATTACATAGTACAGAAGCGGACGCGGTGTATTACAGGTAGTGCATGTGCACTTGATAACGACGCGGTAGTTAATAACGAACGCGGTATCGTTACTCGACGGGCTCGGTATATTACATTACAGTACATAGGCGGACGCGGTATATTACAGGTAGTGCATGTGCACTCGATAACGACGCGGTATTTAAGATACTGGACGGATTCAGTATATTTCCGTTAATCCCTGTACGTTCGCGGATGCCGCGGTATCGCGATAATATGCGTACGGGACGCGTAACGTAGGATGGAAGATTTCCGGAGCCCCGGGGCGGCGGCAGCAAGAGCCCTCGTTGCGAGGCCGAGCGCGCTCGACCCCGCGTAACCGTGCCTTCGGGGTTAGTTCTGAGGGAGTGCGGGAACACCTGAGAGCTCTCAGTCGAGGCTCGGAGCACCGAACCTCGTTGGCGTGTTCCCTAGGAGTCGGGAATAGGTTTCGTCTTGGAAGTAGCGGATCTTTAGACGAAGTGTCTTTTCCTCGCCGGAACGGCGGTTTATATACCCGCCCGGCGCGGCGGGTTTGCTAGGAGCGCCGATCGTCGCGCTGTGGTGGGGCGGCGCCGCGGCGCGGCGCCGCGCTCGTCCTCGGGGCGGCTCGGCTCCCGTCGTCGCTCGTCGGAAGGCACCGGTGCCGCGCTTAGCCCGCGCACACGGTGCGTTTTGAAGTACGTTTAAAATGTGGGCGCACCGCGCCCTGGTCTTCGCCCGACTGGTCGTCGGTCGGGCGGCATCCGGCGGTCGTTAGCCGGGAACGATGCTTAGCGCACGGGGTGCATCGTTACACCGCGAATGCACCAAGCGAGGTGCAACTTTTTGTAAAAGTGCCTAGATACGTAGAAAACCGTAGGCAACGTCATGTCATTTCTAATGTAACATTCTGGATAACATTAGCCGAACCTCAAACATGGTTATATTCCACTCCAAAAATATCAAAAATTATAATACAATGTAATGAATTGCCAGAAAATATAAAATTAAAATTGAAAAAACCGGAAAAATAACATTATGCGATAATTGTAAAATAACTACACCAGATAAAATTTTAGAAACTAGAAACCGAATCTATACTAAATATGTAGAAATGTATTTACCAGAATTCAATGTAACTAATACCCTAGAAAAAAGTATAACATTAGACAACGAATTAGATTCCGAAAAGGAAATAAAGTTAGAACCAGTAATCAAAGATCCGTCAGAATTGATAAAGTTAAGTTTAAGTCTAGATGAAATTAAAAAAGAAGTGGAAAATAACCAACCAAACGTTTTTGCAAATACTGTTTATCTTGTAGGTTCCGCGACCATAATTATAGCCGTAGTAAGCATTATACTTGTAATCATTTATCCTTTCTAAAAAAAGGCATGTTAAGTCGATACTCACATATCTCAAAGTTTTTTGTTGCCCTTTTTCCGCGTTGCCAATTGGTTCTCTCGCTGCGCTTACTTCATTTGCAGCTGTCATCGTATATTTTGACAGTTGTGTGTATCAAGAAGTTAATAGTGTAATAGTAATTGCATAATGTTAAAGCTAAATAGCGCGCGCGAAGCGCGCGTCTATGGTGTCTAGTGTAATAAAAAAAAGGGGAATTATTAAAAATTTAAAGGGGGAAACCACAGCATACATATTAGAACTAAGAAAATTAGACTGTAAAGGTGCCTTTTCATACGCAGCACGCTGCGGCAGCAAAATGTCACGTGATTCAAATTTTCTAGAACTGCTTTTGCTGCATTCGCTGCTCATGAAAAGAAATAGCGGCAGCAGCATATTTAATCTTAACCTAAAATATATATTTTTTTTGGTTGCGGTTTAAAATTAATTTTAACAGTCTGATAATGTCATACAATCAACATCAATTATATGAGTGGCACAGAACATGTGAGCAAATAATTCAAAAATATAATGTGGAAAACTTAAGAAGGCAAAAAATTGCGGTTACGGCGACTGTTGGTGCAGTTATAGCTTGGGCAACTGAAATTTCAAAGAAAAAGCGACGTTATAAAAACAAACGTACTTGGATAACCGAATTTTTTGAACAACGTCGACGATATGGGTTTTACCATACGGCTTTACCTATATTAAAGTTAGAAGATTTACGCTTTCGAAATTATTTTCGAATGAATACTATACAATTTAAAGAATTATTGGAATTAGTTGCCCCAAAGATTACTCGACAATATGCTATTCGTGAACCAATTGAAGCAGGACAACGCTTATCAATATGTTTGAGGTATACATATAATATAATGAAATAAATATTCTTTTTAAGTTATGTTGCTAATCTTTCTATTTTTATTGTAGATATTTAGCAAGTGGAGATAGCATGACATCTATGTCATACCAATACCTTGTAAGTTTAACAGCAGTATCAAAAATCATTTCGGAAACTTGTCAAGCCTTGTGGGAAATCTTATCACCACTTGTATTAGTACAATGTAATGAAAGTGCCTGGAAAGCAATTAGTCATGACTTCAATGAGAAATGGCATTTCCCACATTGCATTGGAGCTATAGATGGAAAGCATGTTATCATACAGGTATAAAATATCATAAAATACTCTCTTTTTAACTGGTATAAATTATGTATGTACATATCTCTATCATATACAATTAAAAATTATGTCTAGAGTTATCTACTTATTATACTAATACAAAATATTTGAATGCCAAGTTTAATTAATCTATACTTTGCAGAGTCCTGAAAAATCTGGTTCAGCGTACTTCAACTATAAAAAGACCCACAGTATTGTACTTTTAGCTATGTGTGATGCTAATTATCTTTTCACTTACGTTGACATTGGAGCATTCGGTCGTCAAAGCGATGGTGGGATTTTCAAACAGTCTGAAATGGGTCAAAGATTTGCACAAGGGAAAATGAATGTTCCGGCTGCAGATGAAATTTATGAAGGAAGTACTACATATCCATATGTAATAGTTGGAGATGAAGCATTCCCACTAACTTCATATTTGATGCGTCCATATCCTGGCAGAGGTGAACTAACGACTGAGAAAAAGATTTATAATTATCGATTATCTCGAGCAAGAAGAGTAATCGAAAATGCGTTTGGAATACTTGCTGCACAATGGCGATTTTATAGAAAATCTACTATTGCTAAAGTTGATACTACTGAGAAAATGGTAAAAGCAACAATAGTTTTGCATAATTGGCTTCGTAAGCAAGATTTGTCAAGAAGAGAAACATTTATAACACCTGAAATGGTTGATAGAGAAGGAAATGATGGATCAATAATACCGGGTACTTGGAGAAATATAGTTGCAAGTAATAATTCTGCTTTCCAAGACATTGCTGCTACTTCTACACACACGCATACAAGAATAGCTGCAGATATTCGAAACAAATTCACTGAGTATTTTTATGAAGAAGGAGCCGTTCCATGGCAATTTTCACGAATATATCAGTAAAAAAAATATAAGACTTTAATATATACATATATATAATAAAAAAATTATTTTATATTTAATTAACAATAAAACTTATTAAAAATGTACTATTAAGCGTAAATGTAATTAATTATTAAATTGTATAAGCAATATAGAATTAATACTTTTTCTAAGTTTATTTAAGAAATCCAAATAATTAATGAAATATACTTTATTAAATAAATAAAATCCACTAGTTATAAATATTTTACATTATATATTTTTATAATATGTAACATAGTAATTAATCTAGACTTTTTGAACATAATATAAAAAATAATACTTTGGTGTAAGCTATTCTTACACTACCCTGCATTGTTTGCATGAAAAAGTAACAAAAGAGGATAATAATAGAAAAATACTTTGGTGTAAGCTATTCTTACAATAACCTGCATTGTTTGCATAATGTCCATTTCTACCAATGTAGATTAATTTTAATCTCGGTTTAACTTACTTTCTATCTTTATCTAACTCTTAAAATTAGAAAAAGATGAAAGTTAAATTAAACCGAGATTAAAGTTAATCTACATTGATAGAAATAGACATAAGAGTCATAGAAGATAATAATAATGAAAAAAAAACTTTGATACTAGTAATTAATCTAGACTTTTTAAACAAAATAAAAAAAATAAAATACTTTGGTGTAAGCAATTATTACACTACCCTGCATTGTTTGCATGAAAAAGTCACAAAAGATGAGAAAGACGTGATATTTTTTCTCTGAAGAAAGACATCATTTCAAATATAAGGTTGTTTCTTTCTTTCTCTGGCAGCTTCCGAATTTGTGTACCCATTATTAGAAACAGACCATCTACTTCATCTTGCTTTACTAAAGGTGGTAACGCTGGTAATTTAATAGGCTCGGAGATAGCGTTCATTGTTGTAATTGCATCTGCAATTTTGTTGATTGCAACACTTGATTCTGTGCTTTCTGATGACAGGGTTGCTATCAATACAAAATAAGTGATAATTTTTTATATTTTCACAAGGATAAATATTAAAAACACGAAATACTTACAAGATCGATTTTTCTTTGGAATCGGTGGAATATTTTCTTCATTTTCCTCATCGTTAGAAAGATTTGAAGTTGTTCTTTAATAATATAATTATATCAGTTAAAACATTAATGAAAGCTATATAATGTTAATTCAAAGTTGAAATAATTTTAAAACAATGCAATACTTTTTTCTTAAAGATACATCGCGCAAAAAATCCAACTGATCAAAATGTTTCCATTTTCGCTTTGTAGTAGGTCGTCCTGATCCACTAGGTAATTTTTCTTCCGCCAGTTTACGATAATAAGTATCTCGTAATATCTTCCATTTTTTTGCAGCTTCTTTTGGATTCAAACGTCCTATAAAAATAAATAAAATATATTAGCAAAACAGCTAATTATTTTCATCCAAAGGGTTTAAACATTTATATTCACAGGTTATTCAATATCACATATTTGTAATACCTTGCAGAGCTTCCGAAACCGCTTTCCATGCTTCACCAGTTATTGTTCTATTACGTTGTATTAAAGGTAGATTATAATTGTATAATGCTTCCCATTTTGAAACCTCTTCTATAAGCAATTCTTCTAATTCCGTTGAATCAGAAGAATTATTGACTGAAGAAGGTTCTTCAACCGCACCATGTTCACCTGTATTTTTTTCTGGATGACTCGATGGCTCATCAAGTACAATGCTTTCTACACCATTATCCATAGCACTTCGTCGCATTATTAATCCATTATCTATATAAAAAAATCATCACATACATTATATACACAGTTATATCATTTATTTTCATCATTTTTCAAGAATCTACAGCACACATTATTATCATTTATATTTACCGCATACTGGATAAAAATATCTGTTTCCATCAGTGAAGTAACGTTTATATCCTTCCAAGCATTTATGATTTGAAATTAATGATTCTTCCGTAATTTCTTCACAAATTCCACAAGTATTAACACGTTTTATCTAACAGAAAAATAAATTAATAGTCAACGCATTTAGATTATATTGTTTATACATGTGCAATTTTTCATTAAACGATTTAAAAAGCAGAAAAGTAATACTACCAAAATTTCTTTATTTAGAGAATAAATTATGAATTTCTAAATTATAAAATTACTTTTATAATAACCAAGCTTAAAAAAATTATAATAATTGCGGTTTATCAATTACGTTTGTGATATTGACAAATTGAGGTTATGACTTTTGCTTACATTACAATTAATTATTCATAAACATTTTCTATACCTCATTGAACGCCATTCTCTCAATTATACATTAATTCCTTAACATTTGTTGCAAACACTACACCAAGTACGTATGTAAATATTGCTCGCTTTCCTGACTTTGACTTCGAGCGACTGGACGGAATCCAGCTTTGCTGCTCTTTGTTCGTTTGGTTAAACTTCAAAACAGAAGAACGAGATGCGGTAAAATGTATTTTGCGCCGGAAGTGTGTCATGTTATAAAAAATTTTCAACCAATCACAGCGAACTGCTGCGGCTGCACACTGCGCATGAAATGGTACCTTAACCCCTCAAGGAAAAGAAAAACACAGATAAATAAATAACAAAAAACTTCGAATACCTCAGTTTTTCTTTTTCCGCGGGGGAAGGGATGTTGTGAGCGCACAACGAATTAGAGATTAAGTATTGCACTTGGCAACTCCGAGTTGCCTCCTATCGGAAATATGACCCTAGCGACGAATACCGCTGACGCGAAGACCTGCACAAGTTTTGGGAATGACCAAATATGGTCATCCCGGACATTACCTGCCCGTTAGACCTTTGATCGCGATATAAAAAACGCTGACAACTAAGTCAGCAATACCGAGCGAATAAAGCGCCCGCCTTTCCGACGAGTGGCGGGCAGTCGCTAGTTACCATCTTAGCGGACACGTGCGTCCAATTAACTACTCATAAATCACTTACTGAAACGCGAGTGTTGTAACTAAAATAAACGGAACTGTATCAAAGAGTAAATGAGAAATATAGTTGGCTATTAACGTTATACATTGTGACGTTGCACGATGTGCACGTCACAGTCTTCACCACTCAAACCTTTATATTGCGCGCGTACCCGCTTATCGTCGAGTTATCATGTTTTAGCTATTAGTTACAGGAGGAAGCGGTCGGGCGGCCCGAGTAG